AGTCAAAACCCACGTGCAACAGTACAATTATGAAAGTCGTGCGCCTCTTAAGCAGGGGGGAAGGGGATGAGAGTCGTTTCGCATGGACAATAAAATATATTTTAAAGCAGAAAATTTTTGTTCAATATAGTAAAAAAAAACATTTTTCAAACTTATCCTTTACATATAATATTATGGAGCTTTAATTTACTATATCTTCTAAATCAATGCTAAACATATGTCAAGATTAAGAGCATCGGAGCTGCTTCCATTATTGTCGATATTTACCATAATAAGCACAAACTTCCATAACTTCATTCAAATATTTTTGGCATTAAACTTTCTCGTCAGTGAAAATCCAATCAAGGGCATTCATTTGACGTCATTTAGAATATTTCTATCAAAATTCATGATAATCGGGCGTTGAACGTTTTCGGAAGTTCACGCTAATAAATTATTTTATTACTAAATTATAGACGAAGTTGACTGTAGACATGCACAACAGCCGAGCACTTACAGGTGCCCAATTTGGACATAAATCTATAGTCTTCTTGTTTTTTTCTCTATCTTACTCAATAAATTAAAAAATGGAAGGGTAGGAAAAATTATAGGAAGGGGATAATGCTTGTAAGGTAGGAAGATAGGAATCAGATAGGGATTCTGTGTCATTTTGCTTATTCAAATCATTTGATTGCTTTTTGTATACCATCTTCGAAATTAATCTTTTGTTATATGATGGCTCATTGTCGAGAATTTTAACCTCATTCCATTTAAAATTATAATGGTGGGTTAATCTATAGTTCGAAATTACTGAGGGGAATCCTGTTTTTTTTATTAATAATTGCTTACGTGTTCGGATATTCTAGTTTTTAATTGACGTAAGGATATTAAGTATTGTGTGTGTGTGTTAGTGCCGAAACTCCAGTTTTTGTTTGCTGAAAGTAGCACGTATGATGTATACGAGAATTTTTAGTTACTTTATTATTATTATTATATTATGATTTAATTATCTTCAAAAGAATAAATAAAAAATAATTAATTAATAATTTATTTAGTATGTTTTTAAATATTACCATTATTATAATAAAATATAATATAAAATATAATTTAAAAGTATCTGATACGTATATGAAGATACTTTTAAAATATCTGTATCTGTACATATATTATATATGTATATATGTATACATTTTCGAACATATGTTTGTATTTGTATTTAGATATATTTTAAAAGTATTTTACCTATCTCTGCTCAAGAGCCTTAAATATATATAACTGCAGAATTGTTTCGCACGATGCAATTAGGAGTAATAAATTTCAAGTACAAGTATATAATGGCATCCGTGTAAGTATTCATTTAAAATTAGATCAACATGAAATTAAACATCAATGTAAAAAAAATGTCTAAACATTTTGCTTTACATACTGTCCTGAGAAAATACATCTTGGATTCAGATGTTGTTAAGTTGACGCAAAAAGTTTGTTGTGTTCATCGAATGAATTGAAAACGAAAATACTTCAGAATAACACATTTATCATTAAAATTAAAAGTATCCATTGTGCACATTCAGCAGATATAACAATTGAATGAGCGCTTGTTGCTATTGTATATTCTTCGAAATTTATTATGGATTTAAAGGTCTACTCCAATCACTGGCAATTATAATCATTGAATACTCACGCAACTGTTGTATCCGCTAAATACGGCCACTTACTTCAATACATTTTTTTTCTATCTAAAAACTTAAAGAGTTTTTTAAATCGGCAGTTTTATCAAAGCAAAACTTGATAGAACGACAAACATTTTATACTAATCTGACAGCGCTCCTGATAAAAATCTACAGGATGTATGAATGTAACTTCTTCTTCTTCGTTTTTATTGGCCTTACTTCCCGCACCTGAGGTTGACCTGATGTGTGATGTTCTTAAATTGATAGACGATGTTACGGAGTTCAGTACTAATAACCTTTTAATTAATTGATGCAATCACATACGTATAAAAATTGATGCGTCAGCTCGCCTACATATTCGGTGCCTGTGCTTACATTCTTGTACGATCGCACGTCTAGAGAAAGGTGGGATCCAAAATTACGAAGAAAAGTCTAATAAAAATTTGTAAAATAGATGCAATGCACGAGTTAATTCGTCAAACTATAAATTGTCGGAATTAATGCATAAGTCACACTTTCAATAGAAATGATCAGAAATTGTAAGATAATGTAATACTCAGACCGAAGCGAGGAGACGTTCACGCCGGTCGAGCCATCCTATATGAATGATAAAATTCGACAAAGAACAGAAACCTAGACTAGATGTTTGTAAATTCTAGGTAATATTATAGAAAAATGATATATAAAGTCTCTATGACCATAAAGCCTTTCTTACCTACAATAACTGATAAAAATAAAAAACCACCTTGTCTAAAAAAAAAACTAATTTGCTTAATCAAGTAAAAAAAATATTTGTTACAAATTTTGATAATTATCGATAATAGGACCTTTTTCGAATTTTGATATTTTTTGGTCGTAATCTTGATAGAAATCTTTGTTGTGACTCTGACAGTGGAGAATCAGAAGAGGTCCCAAAATATTAATATATAATTTATCTATTTTAAATAATTTGGTAAAAGTTTATATTAGAGGAACCCATTCCGATAACTTTGACCTTAACATATGTAAAGATCATAACCGATAGCCTCCGACAAGTTTTAGTCGTCGTTCGTTTTTTATTAAAAAGTTGTTAACAAAAAACTAATAAATAAAACGTAATTTTTGAACATAAAATGGTATTCACTATATATTCTACTGTATATTCTGCTATATAATTTACATTTCCACGTCAGACTTTCCACGAAGCGAGATCCATTCTACACTATTGCTTAGGGATGTCCGACTTCCCATTCGAAACGAGGTTTATCCAATATCTTCCCTTGCCTAGAAAGGGATGGACCTCGCTTTGCATGGAAAATCATTATGCAAGGAGAAGATTTGGAACAATATATATAGCAGAAATAAAACGTTATTTTTTAAACTTTTTTGTTAATAACTTTTTAATGAATAACGAGCGACGACTAAAACCTGTTAGAGGTTTCTCAGGGTCATGAGCTTGACAACATACGTTAAAGTCAAGATCATCGGAACGAAGTTCCCTAATCTCAACTTCCACCAATACTTTTTTTAAAATAGATAGGTTACATATTTTTGGACTTCGATAGATTATCACTGTCGAAGTCACAAAGATTTCTGTCAAGATTATGATATTTAAAAAAATGTCAAATTCGGAAAAGGTCCAATTGTTGATAATTACCATTTAATGTATAATACTATCGATCCGACGCAACTCGCCGGCTTGCGTAAAGGAGCACGACAGTATCTTACGTCATGATGCTGCATTTATCTTAGCACTGAGACACTACTGTGTCTTCAGATCATCAGTCATTTCTAAAAGATTACATATTTAAATGTGACAAAATAAGAGCTAATTAACGTAATATAGTAATTTAATTTGAGAAAACATCAATATAATTTTAATTAATAGTTAATGACTTTCTTTAGTTTCAATAACTTTTAAGGCCCGATTTTACAATATATGGTTACTTAAAGATAACCAAGGTAACCAAGAAATTCAGTGAATGAATTTCAGTGATGAATCTGTTGGTAACCTTTAATCTTTAAGTAACCATATATTGTGAAAACGGGTCTAAGTCTTCTTGGTATATTTTCAATCAAATTTTTCAAACGTATTTTCAGATTCTTCTATGTCAATTGTAGTGCTTCAAAACAGGAGTTTTTATTAGTTATTTCGCATTTGTCAACCCTATTATCCAGAATTGGCCACAGATTTTCAGTGAGGTTTAAATCTGAAGATTACGGAGGCCATTCGAGTTATTTGATGCGATAATAATGAAAAAAGCTTCACTTTTCTTTCCTGCATATTTTGGATCGTTATATCTTACTGAAAAATAAAATTATCTTCTAACCTGAGTTTTATTTTTCCAAATTTTTATTAATTACATTAATATAAACATCTGTCATAATCCCATCAATTTTGACAAGATTTTCTATTCCTGTCCATGAGAAATGCTTCTTTTAATCCGCTTCTTTTGTCCAAATAACTCGAAATTCAGTTAAAATTTGGAGAAAACATGAAGAAAGCTTTAAAATTATCATATTAAGAAAACTATAAAACATGGTAGAGAAAATATTATGATTTGGAAGTGTTTCTCATGGGCAGAAATAGGAAATTTTTTCAAAGTTTATAGGATTATGACAGAGATGTTCATATTGATATGATTAACGAAAATTTAAAGGAATCTAGGTTGAAGCTTGGACTAGAAGATAATTAATTATTTTTTAATAAGAGAGATAATGACTCAAAACACTCAGTAAAAAAAAGTCAAACTTTTATTCGATTATATCACATCAAATAGCTCAAATGGCCTCTACAGTTTTCAAATTTAAACATTGAAGCTCTGTGGACAATTTTGGATAATAAGATTGATAAATGTAGAATAACTAATAAGAACTCCTGTATTGAAACACTAAAACTGGCATAGAAAAATCTGGACACACATTTGAAAAATTTAATTAAAAACATTCCAGAGATTAGAAAAAGTTGTGTTGAAGCTAAAGGAAGTTATATTAGTTATTAATTAGAGAATTATATTGTTGTTTTCTAAAATTAAAATTATCCTTTTTATTTTGTCGCACTTTATAAATATATAATCTTTTAGAAATAAATATAGCATTACACATTACAAATAATGAAATTGATTATTTTTTAAATTACAATCGTTTAATTAATAAATAAATTTTAAATTTTAGTACAAAAAGTTTATAACATAAATATTTGTTTAAACTTCACGAAACAGATCAGTTTTATAGATAAGGTGACTTTTTTTTATCAATCACTGATCAGTATTTTGTAACTGAAAAACGATCGGCCGAAAAATTTGAGCACCTCTTATCGCATCCATTTAATTGTAAATATAATCCAGCTAATCGACCTATTAACTGACTGACCTACTTCTTGGAGCGCATGAACATCTGTGGAAATTATACACGAGTTGGCCGACGATACAATCGATTTACCACGGAAGTGTAATCTCCATCTCCACTATATTACACAAGATTTGCAGTTTTCGATGCCGCAAAAAACTCCGCGGTCATCTCGGCCTTAATCGATGACTGGTCGTGACGTGTCATTGACGCAGGGATCAACGATAACGCGCCAGCCAGTCGGATGACATACTGACATGCGCCAAAATGCGCCGAAAAGGTGAAAATTCTGCCCTACGTGTTACGTTCCGCATTTGACATTTTTTTGCTTCTTTTCTTCTTCTGAATTGTCGATGTTCAATCCCCAGATTCCCCAGGGATCCACGGTATCGCGGTTTATCACAATTTACCGTTCGGGGAATACGCCTCGAGTGCATTGATGATCGACTGGTAAAGTGGCAACGTCTAGCATCCTCGTATGGACTTATGGAGAATGTAAATCATAGGTCTGTTTTCTGTGGCTGAACTAGTGTACACTTTTGGAACTTAGAGTGAGATAGATACGTTTGATATTTGTTTAAAGCGAGAGAGTTTTAGAACAGTCTAGTGCAGGAACAGAAAACAAACTACATGATGGAACTTTCACCATGTTTAGTACTACAACCGCTCACTGAGCGCTCAGTGAGCTCTTGCATCTGATTAGCATATTCCGTTGGATCTAAAAATGTAGACCAATAAAATGCAAGAGCGCTCATAGAGTCCTAGATCAGAGAAGCAACCGCTGTTCCGATTTCTAATTGGTTCCGCCATTTTTTCTACAGATCGTCTTTTAGGACTTTAATTTCGGTAAGTATGATTATTTTTAAATCTTGATATGTATACTGTGTAGTCTCCAAAGAGAATCAGTATTTTTTTGTAGTCAGTAGAAACACTACTATTACAGATCTTTGATTTTTAGATCATACGGAATATGCCAATCAGATCCAAGAGCTCACTAACCCCGGATCCTCATACGGGCAACAGCGCTATGACACCGAACGCTGATTGGTGAAAAACGGATGATGGGGGTAAATTTTACTCCCACAACCGGCTTTTCATCAATTAGCGCTCTGTGTCAAAGCGCTGTTGCCTGTATGAGGATCCGGGCTAAGCGCTCGGTGGCTTATGGAAAGTTTCCACTGAGCGCGTCACGCGTCGCGTCGTCCATCGCGTCACGACGCGACGCGAAAGAGAGAAAGAGTGAAGTTTATATATGTACACAACTCCTCTTTTACTTTCTTTCGCGTCGCGTCGTGACGCGATGGACGACGCGACGCGTAACGCGCTCAGTGGAAACGTACCATTAGTTTCCACCGATGGTTTATGCCTGTTCTACAATAGAGTCGCAAGTCGTAAGACGTAAGAAATTGGCCAATCACAGTTAAATGTAAGAAGAATAATCGACTATGATTGGTTAATTTCTTACGGCTTACTGCTTACGACTCTATTGTAGAACAGGCCTTAAAGCTGACGTACACACCTTCCAAACAGTAACCATAATCCGTACCGTAAATATCAGCCAATCAGAATTAAGAGTTCGAAAGAATTCTCGACTGTGATTGGCTAATTCTTATGGTACGTCTTATGGTTACTGTAAGGCAATATAATTATCTGTGTTTCAGACATTCTTTAAACTTACGTATAATGCCGATCATGGCTCGATAAAATAACATACGAATTATTAAAAATAAAAAACATAAAATAAGCTT